AGGTGGGGGGGGCTGGACACAGCCTCAGCAGTTCCCTTCCCTGACCCCCAAAGCTGGGGGCTGGAGGCAGCCTCTGCACAGGGCAGGGTCACCCTGCCTTGCTATTGAAGACTCCTTTGCTGCTGTGGGGTGTCATAGGCCCTTAAACACCTGCAGAAAAAAAAACCCACCACCCCCCCGACAATGGTCCCAGAAGCAAGGGTTGGTGTGAGCTGGAGGGGCTGGGAACCGTCTCCAGCATCAGCTCCACTGGGACGTGGGGACGGGAAGTGGCAGGTCAGGGTCACTGCTCTTCACCTCTGCCTGCAGCGGAAGCGCAGACCAGGACAGGGGGTCCCAGGGGGCCTGGGAGAGGGGGCACAGACAGTGACCCTGTTGCAAAGGGCTGCAAGCAGCGAGCTGAAAGCACTCAGGCTCAGGAGAGGAGCCCTGGGCCAGCCCTGTCCTGCCTTGTGGGAACAAGGCCAGCAGCTCACCTGGTCTCTCTCAGCAGGCAGGAGATGGCCCCGGGCTGGTGGGCAGCGTGGCACACAACCTGCAGAATGCCTGCGCCTCCGGCATCTCCAGCGTGAAGAAGGTCCCGGCTGTGGCCTGGGATGCAGCTGAAGGGTTGATCCTCTTCACCCCTCGCAGGCTGTCTAAGGCCATGGAGACAGTGGATGCTCTTGGGGGGACTCTTGTCAGTGCTCCCAAGCATCTGCTGGGCACCCTGTACAGCTATGTGCCGGTGAGTTTGTGCCCAGCCAGGTCCTGTCCATCTCCAGCAAACCCCATTTTGCCCAACCTCCTCTAATGAGCAGCCTATAGTGCTGGGTAGTACCAGGAAGTACCAGAGCCAGGAGATGGGGTGCTGTTGGGACACCTCAGTCCCACCCTCCTCCTAAGCATCTCCCAAGCTGTGACAGTGAGTTCACCCCCATAGATCCAGTGGTGGCACCTTCACATGGTTCACCCAGGATGTCACCTCAAACTCCTGGGAAGGTGAAAGTTCATGCTGAGACCATGTCTCCTCTTCTTGTCCCCATCCCGCTGCTCCCCCAGGACCGTTTCTCCACCACACCTACCTGGGGGCTGCAGCTGCCTGCTCCCCTGTGCCAGGGACCCCTCTGGGAGCAAACTGGCCTGTCTTGAGGTCCCCCTAGCTTAGGAGGGGCTGTGCAGCACGGGGAGAGCAGGTCTGGCAGGCAGTCGCTCACCCCATCTCTCAGCTCCGCAGGCAGTCGGTGAAGGGAGAAGAGGCAGCTGGGGGCAGCAAGCCCAGCCCAGAGAGGGAGGAGAAGGAGGAGGACACCAAGCCTACAGCCACCTCCACCGAGGAGAAATCCCAGCCGAGGGACGACTGGCGGATGTACCGTGGCCATCACCCCCTCTCCTTCCTGGGGCTCGAGGACCCCCTCTTCCTGCGGCACAACTTCTACCGCAGCCCGGCCTTCGAGCCCGAGTGCCCCTTCCCACGGAAATCCGCCTTCTCCCCCTACAACAGGCGGGTGAGCGAGGGCTCCTACCGCTTCAGCCCCGAGGCCATGTACAGCCGGGCTTACTATGGCAACCTCTACAGCCCTGTCTTCAAGAAGGACTGAGCTGGTGGGGAGGAGAAGCACTTCCTGGCCTCCCTGTAGCCCCCCTAGCCAGCACGCTTTGCCAGCTGCCCACACTCACCCCTGCACTGGGACAGGAGCTCAAAGTGGTAGACATGCCATGGGATGTCTTCTGGAGTATATCTGGGCCACAGTGGAGGAATAAAAGTAACCAAAAGCCCAACTGGTGGCAGAAAAAGGTAGAGAGAGGTGGGACCAGAAGGATCCAAAGAGGCAAAGGAGATGCATGAAGAGCAGTTATACCAGGAAAGCGAGAAAGGGACCAGCAAGGCCTGGCACTGGGCTGCCCTGGTCTCTGTTGAGCAGATAGCACAGACTTAGATGGGCTTACACATTGAGAGCAGCACTGAGACAGAGCAGGGAGGGCTGGAAAGCCATCAAACATCAACATGGCATCTCTGGTTCCCTATCCTTCCTCACACCATCCCACCTCACAGGGACCATCCCTAGCCACAGAGTGCTCCTCCATGGAGAAGCTGAAGGTCCCCACCAACCAAGCAGGACTCGTGTCAGAAAGCCCTGGGCACCCACCCCCAGCTGATGGTGGGATGGATGGTGGGCTCAGGAAGAAAACCAGTGAGACCAGATGGATCTCCTGGAGCCCCTCTGTCCTGCAGGACTGCCTGGCTTCCCGCAACATCTTGTTGTATTCTCTGCAATAATAAACCTTTCTGACCTGCTTTCTGCCCCATCTGCTCGCCTGCTTTATGAAAGCAAGCCAGGAAAACAAGGGAGCAGAGTGGGGTGGGACACCTAACCCGGGCCAAGAGAGTGGGTACAGAAAACATCCTTGGGTCACCACCACCCAGGGACAGCAGGGGCTCGTGCCCAGCACAGTACGTGTCTCTTCCTAAGCCTCAAGTACAAATTATTCGCAGCCACGAGAGCCAGGGGCTTCCTGCCAAAGACAATTTATTGCATTTCCAGAACAGAGCAACCGCTGCCTGTCCTGCAGACACAAACCCTTGTCCAACACATTGCTTTCCCAGGAGAACCAGGGGAAGGGGCTGGGGAGAAGCAAAGGGAAAAAAAAACAAAACACTCAGCAGTGGAAGGGTTTGGCAGTTAGCTTGGAGACCCCTTTCTCCACCTCCTCTCCTCCCCGGGGACAGGCAGCCTTACAGAAGGAGCAGCTTGGGAAGGCACACGGTGGGATTCCCAAGAATAAGCCAGGAGACTGTTTTTTCCCAGGCACAGGCTGTACAACACTTGCACAAGGGAAAGA